TCTCCGCCACAAGTCGAGCATCGGAGTCAGAACCGACTCCCTCCTCATCCTAACTCAAAACGTCACACTCCCGAGGAGAAATCAAAAGACATCATTTTAGTGTTCATGTACAACAATCTTTTGTTTTAATTGTGAAAGTTGTGTGTGTTATTTTTCTGACCTCCTCGGAGTGTTCCTATTGTCGTCCATCCACGCGACTACTTCTGCGGCCCACCAGCGCCGCCTCCGCTCTCCCAACAGGCTTCTTCAGCGTTTCCGCTCGGCGTTTAATATCACCGTCTTTGTCCCCTCCCTCGCCCCCCCCACCCCCGTTCCCATGCCCCCGCCCACAAGTTGAGCAACGCGTCCACGGCCGCACCCTCCGCTCACAATGCAGGCCAATCAGCGCCCGACCAGCCCTTCTCCCGCCACTGCTTCCTCTATCGAGTTTATTAAGGCACTTCCTTAGCGCCCAAGAGCGTGTAGTTGGCGGTTGCTTATGATCGAGTTACCTGCTAACGCAGTTTGCCGCTCGCTCCGGAAGAGGGCGGTGGGAGGCATCCGCGAACGTTTCCTCGCCACCCCCGCACCAACCCGCCCGCACCCCCCCGGCCCTGCCCGCCCCCGCCTCGCCCCGTCCAGCCCCGCCCCTCGCGCGCCCCCGCCGCGTCCCACCGCGCCCCCGCCGCGCCCCCACGCGCCCCCGCGCGCCCCCGCGTGGTGCCCCGCCCGCCCTGCCCCCCCCGCCCCGCCCCGCCCGCCCCACCCGCCCCGCCCCGCCCCGCGCGCTCGCCACCGCCTGCAGCCAGAAAAACTCCCCGGCGCGGCGGACGGCTGGGTCGAGAGCGCAAAGTGTGTATCGGAAGCGGGGAAGGGAGGAACGGGAAGCACACACAGGGGTCTTCTCAGAAAGATCGACTCGCGTACAGAAGGTTAGGAAGGTCGGCAAAAGGATATATCCAGGAATTATTGATTATCAAAAAACTCGTGGTTTTAATGGATTTCTCAGGACGTAACAAATTGGATTCTTTGCTTTCTACCTAACTTTTTTCTCTATTAATATCATTAATACTGCTATCTCAGGTATTTTATTTTCAACCTCATAAGAACACTAATAAACAGAAATTAATAAAAAAATTTATTTCATTCACCGATCTGTGCCATCTTTTTCGATCACGAATTTTCCTTTTCTTCCAGGAACACTTTCTTCCTCGGTTAAGGTTTCAGGCAGGCGCCATACATTAACGCACTCGAAAGTTTTTGAATTTCTAATTTTATTTAATCAAATTTCTAAATATAATATTCTAAAACACAGTATCTATTGTTTGCCATTATTTCGAAAATGTCATTTACTTCGAGAATTTACTCCATTTATTAAATAAAACTTTTAAAATGAAACTCCGTATCGCACACCCGATTTTCTTACATGGTGACTGTTTTCGATCTCCTCGCCTGTTGCCTCTTTCAATAATGCTGTCCTTCCGACTATCTACAGTTCGTCATTTCTGCGCAGTTCGAGCTCCAAACAGTTTCTTTCTTAGTTTGTACGCTCCTTGTTATTTCGTCTAGTCTATCACAGTTTCCCATATCCTACATTCCTTTCTTATTTTCTTGCATTATTTTTTATAGAAAAAACATATTTAATTAATAATTTTCTTTTAACTACTTAAAATTTAATTAATTTTGTCATCTTTGGTCATTGAGATGACAGGGTTTATTTCAACATTTATTATTTCATATTTGAATCGTTCTCGTCGCTGCCCCCATCTCCGTTCCCATCCACTACGTCGATACCAAAGCTGTCCTCATCCCCACCCCAAGCTGCGACTCACATGAGTAATTATTCAAATGATGCAAATATTTATATTTATATTATTATTATTATTATTCTAAAGGGCATTACTTACCACGCTACACAATTAACGTGTGTAATTCTTCAAGGATCAGCTTTTCAGCTGTATCCTTGGATTACAATAAGGTTGTTACGCCTTGTAGTGTGAATTATGAGTTGATAGGATGATGATAGGTGAAGGGACAATCACAAATACGACCATGTTTACGCAGGACTCGAACCTGCAGCCTCCTATGAACAGACGACGGCTGCCGCAACCGTCTGCGCCACGGGGCCGACAATATTCATATTATATATAATTAACTATATTTAAATTGCCAACAGGTTGTTGTGCAAACTTGCTGCAACTGCAACGTGTTGCCACTGCGACAAAACTACGGAGAATGATAAATTGTGTAAAACTGATCTTTGTCCGTTCAATTATGTAATTGGGTACTCACATTTGTCAACGAACAACAGCTACATATGAAACTGGATTCACGCATGTCATGTGTTGGCGTGCCAGTTTAGAAGTCAAGGGGGAATTGACGATCGATGAAGTTACCAGCGTTAACAGAACAAAGACTGTTACACTCAGAGATTTGTGTAATGCCACTATCATAATTATGTGAATTTTCAAACTTTGTTCGCAAATGAATTAAGAATTACTGAGATTGTGAATGTAGTAAATACTCCAAAACAGATTCTGTGAAGTTTTATTTACTTTCATTATTTTCACGTATTAATGAAATAGGAATCAAATTTCATCGAAACAGCAATATTCTTCCAACAACGTATGGAACACCCATTCTGTATTTACTATGAAATCATAATTGTACGATGTATGTTGTATTGCAAGAGTGTGTTACTAAATAGCGTTAGTAGCACCACCAATCCATTCCTCTTTTATAGTCAGGATGAAAAGACGGTAATATAATGTTGCATACGCTAGTCCAGTGATTGATGAGTTTTCCATTGGAGTATAATTCTGGTGTTTTTCGACACTAGGTCAAATAATACCCATTTGATATTCAATGAAAATATATTACCTCTCACAAATATTCATACATATCAGTTCATATTTGTGACTGTACCTGTCCTGTTAAGTAGCGACTGTAACTTTGATCCTGTAGTATGACTCTAGATTCTGCCTACATTATACGGAATCGCACATAGGACTTGTTTCATTTTTAATATAGTAGGAACTTCACTTGTTTCAATGACAATATAGTTTTTGTAATACTAGACAATAATTCAATAGATTCATGTGCTTCTATTAACCTATTAATGATTTTAATATCGAATTATTAATTAAAACTCGAAATTTCGCAAATCGTCTCCTAAATTATTTCAGTAGTTTAGATGTGTTTCTCTGCTCCCACACGCCACCAAGGACCTACATTCCCACACGCCACCTTTATAAATGAGAGCCATAGATAAAGACCATTTCACGGGGACTTTGCGAATTGCACTTTTATTTTAAAAATATGAAGAATTTATTGAACAAATACCATCTAAATATGGGTCAAATGTAACCCGCAGCATTCTGGCTGATTTTTTTTATACCTACATAGATATATAACTCCAAAATGAAACGTTCTAGGACCTTAAGTTATGGAAATTTGAGGCTTTCGGTCTGAAAGCAATGTTTCTCACACCGTAAGCTATAGAATGACATCTCCTTGGGCATTATATTACATTTTTGCTGTATCGGCTCTTCTCGACACTACCCCAGCTGTGGGATGTGCAGAATCTGCAATTGTGTGTGTGTGTGTGTGTGATTAAACTAATTACTTAATATTCTATGCTACTGAATGGAACTGGTGTACCTCTCTGTTTGGTAATAAAATGAAATAAGTATAGTTTGTATTAACAAAGGGTATAGGGAAGAGATTGGGGTATAACATGCGAGAGTTCTTGTAGGGCTACACTAGTATTTCTTATACCACATTTTCCAAAATGAGACGTTTTATTCCACTTTTTGGAGTTCACCACACTTTGTAGCACACCGGCTGTCAGACACGTTCGAAGTTGGATTCCAAGATCAAGCTATTTTAATTTTTGAAACAATGATTTACAAAGTGTGGTAACTTTGCGTGGGTCCAACCAGTTTTCATTAATATTTTGAAAGGTCAGAAGATATCAATAGGTGTGGCGATCCGATATGTAGTGGTCATATCGTTCACCTTTCACCTCTGGATAACAAGGTTCAAAATTCTCATCACTCTGTGTGGAATTTTTTCGACAACTTGCCTTATGGTATTATGCTCGTGACATTGTTCACTTACCTGCCCTGATGACGATGGCGTGTCTTTGTGTGTCAGGTGGCGTGGATTAAGTCGGACTCCAAGGCGATCCTGGCCATCCACGACCACATGGTGACGCACAACCCGCGGCTGGCCGTCACGCACAACGGGCACAACACGTGGAAGCTGCACGTGTCCAATGTGCAGAAGAACGACTCCGGCACGTACATGTGCCAAATCAACACGGACCCTATGAGAAGTCAGGTAACCAACGTTCTAAAATGTCGATTTCTCGCACTATTGGCTTGCACGCATTATGTGTGTTAATTTATCCTTAAAATAATATTGATAAAAATCATTAAAGTTTTATTGGTAAAAATCTTAAATATTAAAGTTTCATGAAAGCATTTATCTCTTTATGATAAAAAATAATTTCGTTTCAATGATAATGATTTAATCTGAATAAAGAGGTTTAAAATTCACGTGTGCCGTTTCAGAAATGCGAAACACTCGACAGCAGCATTTTAGTGCTGTTTTTTTAATGTACTCCTATTAATTATTTACAATACAAAAGTTTTAAATTTCAGTTATTAGAATGTTGAGTTCTAAAAAATAAATTCAGTTCTTCAGTAATACAAATTTAATTATATTTTACACCATAATTAAAAATCTCTACCTTTGAAGAAATTTTGTTTATTTGGAGTAAAAAATATGTTCGTTTGCTGAATGAGCTAAGTGAAATGAGAGTACTCTTTGTTCTTTTTACAAAACAATATAAAGTGATAACAATATTCCAGAGATCAGACCAGAAAAGGATGCTCAGGGCATCAACTGACGTCAATGTAGTCCTTCTGACCGAGTGACCCTAGGTTCGAGTCCCGATGGTGACAGGATTTTCGACACTAGCTACGTAGCTAGGTCGAATTCAGTCTCTTTCTGGATGATAATTCTAGCTGCTCTGGTCGGTGATCGGTTCCTTTGTTTCTCAAATCACCACCAGGCGAATGCCGGAACTGTACCCCAACAAACGGGCCGCGGATTGTGCACGAGATTTCCTTCCTCTTCCTTCTCCTACCCGCACTCCGTACTTATACTACACTACCACAAGTGCCAGGTGAACTGCCGGGAGCTTAGAGCCTGACCCGGCTGGAGCGGGGCCCTGCTGCTGGGAGATTCCTGGTTGTGGAAACACTCGCCATCCGGCGGTCGGCACCGGATCTCACCATCTGGCGAGGGAACATCACCGCTAGCTTCCGGGGGAAAAGAGCATGTACTACACATACGGAACTAATGACCTTAGTTGACGCGCCCGGTATCACCAATCAAGGTATCAAAATCAAGAGATAAGGAATTGTAGGGTATCAGTTGCCCCTGCAAGAAATCCGTAATCCTGAAGCAATCTGTTGAATGTGTCTCTCATATTATAGGCATAAAAACACAATGTGCACTGATGTATTTACAATGTGAATTTTTTAATTTAAAATATAATTCAATTATTTTTTTTCATGTTTAAACTTGGTATTGAAGGGAAGCGAATATTCTTTGCAAACCTCATGTCAGTCATGCTATTTTTTTTCTTATTTTTCGTGCTTCTTACTTACTTGTGTATTACTGTGACTACTGAGACAAATATTTCAATTAAATTAAAGCTATCTACCTTTGCTTCGATGTGATATGACAAATGTGACATTCAGCAGGGAATGTTTTGTATGACAACGGAGCTTTCGGTTTCATTTGCATGCATACGATGTTGTATGTAATTTGACCATTTTTCCGTAAAATTAACATTTTGTTAAATGAATTCTCAATTATTCAAACTATTGTTAAAAGTTCTTGTCGCTAGAGAGTATCATCACTGACTCACCAAAACCGAGAATCAGTACTTTTTCGCTTTTTTGTAACAAGTGAGAGATATGAATTTGATATGAAGGAAATAGCTCATATCAATGATTACAAGACAAGCAAAGTGGTTAATCGAAATTGAGATTATCAAATAACTTTAATTAGATTTATTAATAAAGGAATAAGGATGGATAAATCTTAAAAATTAACACTGCACAGTTAACAGTAATTTTAAAAGACATATCGTCTCCTTTCGAAATACGACTTATCGCACTAATAATATTTCAATAATTAAAGTTCACAAATACGAGAATATTCATAAAGTATACCTCGTGCTATTGTTATAGAGTCCACATTTCTCTATCACAGCGACAACGCCCCGCCCGTAAAGAGCACACGTCATATGGCACAACAACTTGCGAGAGGCGGCGAGGGTTATGACGCAGGGACGTGGCCGACCGGGGGAGCGGGTGCGGCCAGTGCGAGGGGAGGGGCGTGGAGAAGCGTGACGTGGCGCGGGTCAAGCGGCGCATAAACAAGGCGCACGCGGCACCAGCGCGCGGGGGCGGGGCGAGGGGAGGGGCGGCGCGGCAGTGAAGCCATAAATCGCGCGGCGCCCGACCGGCGGGCGTCGGCGCTCGTCTGCGCTCTTCCAGGCTGGTCGCCGGCAGCGCCGCGGACGCCGCGTCGCGCCACCCCTCCACCCGCCGACAGCGGACCACCGCCCGCACTTCCCGCACCCCGCACGGCTACAACCCGACGGACCAGCTCTCCCCCCCCGTGCATCCGGCTTGGACAGCGGCGGCGCGACAGCCTTCTACTCCCTGCCCACTACGTATCGCTCACATTCGCAAGGCCCACTCCGTGCCTTCCCCGATCTGCTCACCTCGATAAGCAAACACTCGCTCAACAAAACGCTTCGCGCACGATCACCTCGACCCACGCTCGCGCTCTCCGAGGCCGTCCATCTTCGCTTTGACCGCCCGACAGACCATCCGTGCCTCTCCACTACCCCGAGACCCACGGGGCAACATTGCTAGTGCTTCGTCAAACTGGCAGGCCATAACAGCTGTGCCCCGCCCGCCGCGACTAACCGACCTTGCCAATTTGTACTCCACCGCTTCTTTAAATTCCCTGCCCTTATTCGTCCTGCATTCAACCTTACTCGACACGCTCTCCTCCGCCTCACCTTACTTGTCCCCCCCCCCCCGACGCCTCACCCACCCAGCGTCGCATTGCTCCGAACTGCCCAGTTCTGAAAGCTCTGCCTCGCCCATCACGACCACCTTAACAGACGCCCATCGTCTTCAAACCCGTCACTTTCCATTCCAGTTCATTCTCACCTGGACAGAGCCGCCACAACAATCCTTGCTCTGCTCCGCCTTCTGCATCCTACCTGGTCTGTCCCGCTTCCTTCGCTACGCCCACTTCGCACTGCCCGCTTCGCTCCACCCGCTTCTCTCCGCCGCTTCGCTTCGACCCAGCTCCGTCCGTTTAGCACTTCATTCCATCCTGGTTACATTGGAGGAAGTGAGGTTGACCCATTTTATCCCGTGACTACTCATAGCCCTTCCTCATTTCGCCACTTCGTGCATTACGCTTCTGCCATCCCTCTCCCTCTCAGTTGTCCACCACACCTCGTCTTTCCCACTCGCTTATTTCTTTACCCCACCCCGTCCTTCCCCTCCACACCAGCCCCCACACATCTCCCTTTTTCCCTTCTCTTTACGCAACACCACATGTTCTTGATATACTTGTATATTTCCTCCCTCCTAGACTCATCCTCATTGCCTAGCTCTTTTAACCGCTCTCCCAACTTCTTCCTTGTCCGTCCTCATCCGTCCGTGCAATGTCAATTCCGCACCCTCTCTCGCCAAAATCGGTTATGTCCTCCTCATGCCCCACCCTGGTTGCAAGAGCTGACAGCCTCTGATCGGCCATCACCCCACCCAGCTCCCGCGTCTCGCCTCCCCTTTTCTCGCAACACATCATCTTACCTTATTTTTCCCTCCCAGCCCTGCTCCCCTACCGCTCATCTCCTCTCTTCCCCGCTCCATTCCCCTGGGTCCTAATACTTCTGACCCTCGCCAGCTCTGTCATTTCGCCGTCTGCCCCTTCGATTCAACTGGCACGCCGTTGCACTCCCTATCCATCACTTTGCCATCCCTTGCCTCGGTACGCAATACCCGGCCATTCCTGGACGCTACACGTCTTGCCCTGCAACACGAAGTCTCTCCTTAACATAGCCATTACCGCCGCTCGTCTTGCTTTCTCCTCGCTTCACGACCCTTTTTCTCCGTATTCTTTGCCCGAATGTGATTCCGTGCCCGTGAACGGACGACGCTTCGTCACTCCTCGCCTCTGTCCCTCTCCACACGTTGCTTTGTTGTTCCTTACCTTTCCACACCTGCTATCGCCAAACATCATTTCGCCTCATATTCAACTTTCTCCTTCTATCAGTCCTTGTTTTTCTACCCTCTCCCCGCACCTCTAGAATACTCATTCGTCGTGTCACTCCTGATCCTCACCAACAGCTACACTTCTCTCCTTCCTCCTCAGCTGAAGCGGCTCCGCCCCCCCTGCGCCCCGGCACGCTTGCGGGCGCTGCGACCATCAGAGGTGGCTCAGGAACTATTAGTGTCTCTGACCGGGAGATCGTAGGTTCGAGTCCCGACGCTGGCAGGATTTTCGACACTAGCTTGGCAGCTAGGTCGAATTCTGTCGCTGTCTGGAAGAGACTTCTAGCGGCCGGCTGCTCTGATCGGTAGTTTTCCGTGGTTTCTCCGATCAACGCCAGACGAATGCTGGAACAGTACTGTGACAAACGAGTCATAGACCGCGCGCGATCTTTCCTTCCCAATCCTTGTTCTATGCTCACCTCTTGTTTACACACACATTAACATGCACTATCACACATGCCGGAAGAACGAATGGAAGCTTAGAGCTCGCCCCGGCTGGAGCGGTGCCCCGCTGGTGGGAAAAAGCTGGTAGGGAGAAAACCCCGCTAGCCGACGGTAGGTCTGCGCCGCATCTCACCATCCTAGGGGGAAGATCACTGCCACTTCCCGAGCTCCGCTATACCTCACTCCGCCATCCCTATTCACGACACCCGACTGAAATAGCGCAGGTTTACAATCAATGCCACTACACGGTCTCTATCCGGGAGTTCAAGAGCTCAAATACCGACTGGGTCGGATTTTGACACTGGAAAGATAGCTAGGTTGAAATTATCTGCTGTCTGGAGATTTCTAGCGGACAGATGCTCTGATCGGTAGTTTTCCATAGTTTCTCCGACCTGGAGACCTTTCTCCGAATACCAGACTAATGCGGCGGACTGTTGTACCCAAGTTGGCAGGTTCAAATCCGATCGAAGCCGTGGATTTTTAAGGGCGAAAAAATCCTTCGTACGCCTTCCTTCGGAGGGGAAGTAAAGCCGGCTGTCCCATGTTCGTAGATTTACTTGCATGTAAAAGATCCTCAAGCCTAAATGACGCCTCTGAGCTAAATTCAAAACGCCTGTTTCTCGCCCAAGAAATACCTCCTTTCTCTCCTAGTTGGTGAAAGGAGCGTAGCGAAATTTGCGTGGTCAGACGGAAGAGCGGGCCTGATGAAGAGCGGGCCCGAGTCTCGCCACGTAAAATAAGGCAAATTCAATTCAATTCAATTCAATGCTGGAGCAGTACCCTAAAATCGGGCCACGGACTGCGCGCGATCTTTCATTCCTCTCACCTGACCTGTATCCCCTTAGTCAGCCACACATACACTTTCAAGTACTACACTACCACATATGTGGAGAGACATGAACATGCCCCGCTGGGGGAAATATCTGGAAAGGGAAGGTGTAGGTCGGTGTTGTATCTCACTTTCTAGCAGGGAGGATCACTGCCATATACCAGGACATAACGTGCACCTCTAACGGCACTAATGATCATAGAAGTTAACTCGCCTAGACATAAATCAATCATCTCGCCATACCTCGATTTTCCGCACTTCACCACACCGCCACATCTCTCTTGTTTTTTCCCCTCCCTCTTCTGGCCCCCACTCACTCTGTAGCGTCTACAACCTTCATTCCGTCGCTCCTGACCCTTGCCAAGCGCACCATTTCACTCACTCCTCCCTCGCCTAAACCGGCCCCGTCCACTGTGTCCCGCCTACGCAGACGCTGACGGCCACTGCTTTACAGAGGCGTTATTTGCATCCGCGCGCCTCTCGCGGCGGCGGGGGTGGCGGGGATGGCGGGAACCGACTTACATATGGCGGGTGTGCGCGAATACACGAGCGCGGAAAAATATTGTGGCGAAATTTGTGGGCGAAGTGTTTAAGCTGAGACAGATGCGACGGGATATGGAAAGGAAAGGCGAGTGCTTGACCTGAAATATAGGCGAGGAGGGAATAGGACGGAAACCGGGACAGTCGCAACTTCCTGCGAGATCTCGATGTGTTTTGCCGTATTGCAAATTTAAATTGCCATGCATTGCAGAGAAGAAATAAAAGAAGTCTTCTCTTTAAAATTAATATATTTATTAAGAGAACCGACTTTCGAAGGATTTGCCGTTACCATCAGTCTACAAATATACACAAAATAAAAGACCAAGTAAATACAAAATAAAGTGAAGGGATTAATATAAATAATATATACTTTTAAAATTATAATAATTAGCAAATTAAATTATAAAATATAGAAATGTAATTGCATTTGCTAATGGTCCCTGTAATAATATCTTCCCTTCCAAACACGCCTTTTCTTAAATATTTAAAGTTTGAAATATTTTAGCAGAAACTTTCTGAAAATGATTATTATTATTAATGATATTATTAAATGATATTATAAAATATATGCATCATTGGTTCTTAAATACACATTTTTTGTTCAATCGTTTTGTCTTTTATTCTGAAATCAACTGGACTACCTTAGGAGGCTTCAGGGCAGCAACGGATGTCCCTTGTCTGTAGGAGAATTCTAGGGCCCAGCTGTTCTCATAGGTAGTTTTCCTGCTTTTCCAGATCAATACCTGGCGAATACCGAAGCAATACCCTAACAAACGGCCCACACACTATCTTTCCTTCCTCTTTCCAATCTTCACCACTTATACTTACACTTACACGAACTAGAATCGCCGCCTCTCGGGATAAAACGTTCACCAAACTTACGGGACTAATGACTACAGCCGTGTGTTTGGCTAGCCTTGAATGGTGGCTGAGCGGGCGCGTGGTGTTTCAGATGGGCACGCTGGGCGTGCTGATCCCGCCGGACATCCTGGACGACGAGGCGTCGGACACGGACAACGCGGCGCCCGAGGGCGGGTCGGTGTTCTTGCGCTGCCAGGCGACGGGCGTGCCCGAGCCCGCGGTGCTGTGGCGGCGCGAGGACTCGCGCAACATCGTCTTCCGGCACGACGGCGGCCGCGAGAAGCTCTGTGAGTGCCACCTCTTCTTCTTCTTCTTCTTCTTCTTCTTCTTCTCCTTCTTCTTCTTCTCCTTCTTTCTCCTTCTTTTTTCTTCTTCTTCTTCTTCTCCTTCTTCTCCTTCTTCTTCTTCTTCTTCTTCTCATTTTGTTTCAGTTCCTCTTTTGTCTTCGACTTAATTCCTCTCTTCCTTTGCTTTCATTTCCTTTTATTTTAATTTTGGCCTTTTAATTCTACTTCGTTCACTCTTCTTTTCTATTTTTCTTCATTTTATATTTGGCGGCCTCTTTTTCATTTCCTTATTTATTTTAGTGTTCTATATTTGGGTGGAAATTAATTATGATTTGTGACGCTACTCGTACTTGGCATGAAATGGTGATGGAACTTGACAAACGTCTTTGTTGGTGGAAGTTTCTTCCAATTATTTCTTTACCAAAACAATTAAAATTATATAAATGGTGGTGATGAATGCAAACAATTGATGAGATTTTCTTCGTTTTTTCCTTTAGATACGGCGTCATACGCCCAATTCGGATACCAATGTCAGATGAAGGGAAAGTAATAATGATAATATGAATTTCCATGTCGTGTTAAAGGTAGTACCAACTCTCAAAATTCTGTACAGCAGTTCCTTCCTTATCCCATAAGACATTAAAAAATACTCTGCTGTGACACCTCAGGGTTTTCTTAAATGAACTAAACACCTTTCTTGGACAAATACGCACGATTTATGAGCATTGAGAATATTTTTGAGTACATTCCAAAACGAATTTGAATGTTTAAGCTCTATTACAATATTGAAAAACGAAGGCCGTGATTGTGAAATGTCTGTTTTTGTCATACGTAGTGTGAATATAAAATTTTCTTTGATCCCAGTTAAGCTTTCTTTCAACACAGTCAGGACTTTTAAAAATAATAAAAAGATTCTGTCTCAATTTTAAAACTAAAGTTTTAGTCAAATTCCACATTACGATGTCTATATATTTCTAACATCGCTTTGGCATTTCAAATTTCCCGGCCAACGTAGTTCCAGGAACGTCTTGTAGAGCGCAGCACCCTACAGAACTCGTAGATATAAGGCGCACTATTTAAAAAGTTACCTCCGAATATGTCGCGTCTTATTCAGGATAATAGGGGCCTCCAAAAAATAGGGCTTTTGTGAATTATGCATGTTTGTATACCTCAGTATTGTATTTCTTAATTCCAATAATAAAACTTAAAAACTAAATAAACATTTTATAAGTTAAAAAAATATGGTTTAGTGACGAAATACTTAAAACTGAAGGTAATGTCTCTCGAATTGAAAAATATTATTTACATTGTTGTTTAAAAACATCAACCAGAAAGCAATTTGCCTTTAGACATAAGACTAATATTTTATCTGTAAAAATATTGTGATAAGAAAGCTTTACGCTAAATAGAATTGTCCGTATTTGCTTGAATTCATGTGTGATTGATTTACCCCAATATATTTCGGTTTGAGAATATTTTTAATAGAACTTCGTGATGGTCCGCATCTTATCATTAAATAGTATTTTAATTCTTTCCTGAATAGCCCTTTTAATTCTTTGCTACTGACACCCATGTTCTGTACTCTTTTTGCTGTAATAGTTTGTAATTATTTATGAAAACTTTGCAAAGTCTTTGAGTAAAGCGACTAGGGACATCGATGTTGATGTTTTCAAAAAATCGATGTTTGTGTAGAAACATCGATGTTTTAAACATTGATGTATTAAGACTTTTTTTTTTAACATCGATGTTTTGTGATCGATGCATTTTTTTCTTTTCCAACGTTTTGTTTTTCAAAATTCTCATGATAACAAAAGTGTAAAAGTTAAAATATTAACTATTAACTAATAGTAACACTGTTATTCATGTGCTGGAACCAAAGGAACCCTGTTAGCAGTACCTTCGTCGACCAAACACTCTCGCCCTACATGACCTCCATAGCCTTATATTTTCTCGTTATTCATATTCATTTCGCACATTAAGAAAGGGTCAACAAATATGCTATGGGCGTAGGGCCTGCTCCTTCTTTATGTAACCTTATTCGGCGAATTGATAAACACGAACCCAATTTAATTTTAATGCACACGAATTTACTGTTAGAACTTACCAATCCAGTCTGAAAACATCGATGTTAAAAAACCTAGATGGTTTTTAGTCGATGTATTTTTAACATTGGTGGTTTAATTTTGCATCCATAACAACAATTTAACATCCATATTTGATAACATCGATTTTTTATCGATGTCGCAACACTAAAAGAAACTGTTCAGACGCTCCCCTTTTTCTCACGGAATACATAGAATGTAAGAACTTAAGAGGTCGTATCACCATCATTAACTATTCTGATGCATTCTTGTTCATATTACGAAAATATGATTATTGTAACACCTCCCGGCGTAGGGAAACGCGCGGTTAGTGGCCTGGTTTTAGCTCAGTCGGTCCTATTCCCTTTACTTTAGCATGGTAAGCTAAAGCATGCATGGGCATTCGAAATAAACAATTTGATTACTGGTAAAAGACAACGTTTATTCCTGGACAGAGCTGTACCAGGGAAGTTACATTAAAAAAATAAAAGAAAGAAAATATTGAATAAAAAGAAAAAATAAAGAATAAAATTAAAAGGAAAGCTTACAACTAGAGAAGAGGACAAAATTATTTTATAGTTAGATTTACAAAGTTGTCCCTGAGGACCTTTCTTGTGCCTTCGCGCGGCACCGCTTTGACAATGCTGCAAAAGGTTTATTGCCCCCAGTTACAATGCCTGAGAGCCCTTCGTGGCAGATGTTCTGTAGGCCC